ACACACACACACACGAACACACACACGCACACACCTAATTCAACAAACATATTGAGCGTCACTAGGCTGGCTTCATCATCTGGTACCAGGGCCCAGTGGGCATTCCAGGGTAAATCTCCCTTCGGGTTTGAAGAACCTGTGAAGAGGACTCACAAGTACTCCAGCCTTCTTACTGCTCGGCTAGGCTGGTTCCTTGAATTGTTACGTTTGGAAGGGCTTTACTCTTCACGAAGTATTTTATGTGATTACTTCATTGAATTCTCTCAATATAGCTGAGGCAAGTACTCTGATTATCCCCAATTAAGAGACAAGAAGCTTGAACTTTAAAGTTAAACGACCCACTCTAAGGTCCCCTCTTTAGTGGGAGGCCCAACGAGCACCCTGACTCTGACATGCTCAATTTTGTGCCCTTTTCAACACAAATACATCAAGCTGCTGCCCATGGGGGAACACTTAAAATAAAAAAGGAAAAAGAAAAGATTGAGGTGAGGTTCTCTTTAAGCATTTCCCAACCTATCGCGTAATTAAAGGAGCAGAGCAAAGCTATCCCAGTGGAAGGAAGGAAGCTACCAGGCAGCAAATGCCGGCTCGTCATAGAAGCTTCTAACAATTAGAGCTTCAGCAAAGGAATGAGATGCCTGGTCAAAAAGTAAACTCTGAAAGTCATAGACCTACTTACTGCTTGTAAGGATATTATAAGAACAATCATACCTTTATATTGTTAAGGCATTTATCATTTATAACATGCTTCTGTGACAACCTCGTTTTGAGTTTAGCTTAGGGCAACCAACTGCCCCAGTTTGCCTAGGACCAAGGTATTTCCTGGGACATGGGATTTTCAATGTTAAAATCAGTAAAGTCCATGGCAAACTGGGACGCATTGGTCACACTAGCTTAGTCCTCTCTGCATCAACAATGAGGTGGTAAAGCCAAACATCATTATCCTCCTGTGATACAGAGGCTCTTAAAGCGTGGCCCCTGGTCCAGCAGCATCAGCACCACCTGGGAGTTTGTTCAAAATGCAAGTTCTTGGGTCCCGTCCCCAGACCTACAGAATCAGAACCTTGGGGAGTGGGCCCAGTGACCTGCATTTTAACAAGCCCACCTTGTGATTCTAATAACACAATAATGTTTGAGAAATGCTGATTCAATGGACTAAATCCAAACAGGGAAACTAGGTGGTCCATTCAGGGGCATTATTGCTAATAGCATCTGAGATTCAAGTGCAGATTTATTAACTCAAAGTAAGAGCACTGTCTTTCTGTTATCCAACAGAAAAGGTTTTGAATAATGGGAAAATTGAACTGAATAGTCCCTAAGCCTCCTTTTCCAATCAAAGACTCCAGGAACTCTAGGCCCCCACAGAAAGGGCAGACACTACCTGTGCCAGTGCCAAGCCCCAGCAGGTGCTCATACCAGGTTAACTCAAAGTCCACGTCTCTGCCCTGGTGGTAACGCCACTTGCAGTACACTTCGGTGGCAAAGCACCGGTCCTTCACCTCAGGGAGGGTGGTGAACTTGTCCTTGATGAACCCTTCAAATCCAGATTGGGTCGTTTTCAAGAACTTGAGGTCCTTGATGCCAGAGTGAATTACTGGAGGTCCTGTGTTAAGTAAAAAGGTAGAAGGGATGAGGTCATAAACAAAACAGTGCCTTCTTACTGATACCTAGCCCTGAGGATCCTGGTCATTCAAACATGGCACACGATGTTTGTACAGAGAACTATTAATACATCACTGCCTACGTTTTTTTGTCTCCCTGTCTCCTCTGAAGTCCAAGTGATGAGGATGGTGTGCCCTTCCCTCTACCTCGGTTCCACGACTCTCTGCCCTTTGCTGCCTTTAGAGAACTGAAGGCTAGAGACTAAACCTCCATGTTGTACTGAAGCCCACCCAACTGAATATCTTCCTCTCAGCTACATGCACGGTTGTCTTCTAGACCAAATACCATCGGAGCTCACAGCAGCTCATGGCAGCCCCACTGCAGCCTATGCCGTCGCCGGTGACTCATGGCAGCCCAGCTCCAGATCAAGCTGTTGTTCACCATCTTAGCTGTAGAGGGTGCAGCGTCACTGGCCCACATGGCATCCAAACCGGCCACCCTGTTGCTCAGAGCTTGCGCTCCCAATACAACTCTTAACCAACAAGCCATTCAGCCGGCCCTATCTTCCACTTTTTAAGCTCCATCTCATTCAATAGATAATCATGCTGAAATGAGTTAATAAGCTTCTACACAGCAGTTCTTCTGTCTGCTAATGTGACTCCCTTTATGGGGGTAGTACTCATGTTGATTGTCTACACTGGCTGATGGCTCCAATCACCACCAGTCCCTCAGTTCCCTTGTGGTTATGAGCTCAGCAAACCAGAAAACTTCATGAGTGGATAGCAGTGTGGGCCTGGCTGAGCCTAAGTAAAGACTGGGAAGATGAGGCTAGTGATGCACAAGACATAGATCCACCTAAGTGGATACCCATAAAGGCTTTTGGGGTTTTTTTGGCTGAAAGAGAAGGGACAAAATTGGTTCATGGAGACCTGGAGAAGAGAGGGCAAGAACTGAAAAAAATGGAGGGGATGATATGACCCTCCTGCAGTCCCTGATGTCACCTTATAAGGAGAATAGGGGAGGCAGAGCGGCAATAGGCATAATCTGAATAAGCTGTTTACTTGTGTCCAAGTAGTTCCAGCTCATGGCCCAAGTGACAGGTAGGGCATAGAGTTAGTGAGGGGAGAATCCTCTCATTCTTTTTCTATGTGAAACACACTGTAGCTCCAGCAGTCTGGTGAAGCCGAAAGAGAATGTTGCACCAGTTGACACACTGAGCAGCCCCGGGCACAGTGCTCTGTGGAGAGCATCATTCTTCCCAAGAAGCAGTGACAACTGGCATAGCAAATGCAGAGCAGAGCCAGTGAGGCAGCAGTTGTAGCTAATGGGCGCACACTTGTCCCTGAGCCCATGTGAGACAGCCCTACAGGCTGTCAGACGGTGGGAGAGTTTGGCTGGAAAGGCCTAGAAGGTTTATAATGAGAGAGCTACAGGGCCAGGAGAATTCAGGAATTAACATCACCCCGGTCTTATCTGTAGGGAAGGCTGGTGAGGCCGGACATTCAGGGGGCACTTGGATACACACCCCAATAGCACACTGCCATGGCAGGATGATGAAGGTCACCCTTTCTCAGTCTTGAAGTTAGTACTGATGAACATCTATCCTTCCTGGCTGCTTCGTATATGAACCAAGGGCCAGAGGGGTCAGATATGACCATGTGGGACATGGTCTTAGTTGAAGAATAAGAATGTAACTCATGATCCTCAGTTATAATCCAGGGCATCTCTTAATAACCCAGTGGTTTACATCACCTGTGTGGCTTCAGTTGCTGCAGTTAACTTAGGAGCTGTGGAGTTTCAGAAGTAGGTAAATCATGACTGTATTTTGATATTTTCCCGGCCACATGTGTGCACCTACCAGAAAGCAATGACCAGTGATCTGAGGTAGATCTGCTGATTAACTATGTGCAGATTAAATAAGGTGTTCAGGCCAGAACATTCCAGGATAATGTGGCAAAACTAAAAATTATATTTGTTTCACATTCTGAAGTTCTCACTGGAAGCTATACCTGAAGAAGAATCGAGAGAAAGACACCAGCAATGCCTCAATGCTTTAAGTTGGCTGGGTCTATCAGATTCTAGGTATATGAAGAATGCATGGTTCAGATCCAAGTATGGCTAAGTCTCAAATCCAAGAGAATTGCAAAAGCAATCAATAAGTTTCTGTTGAAGGGATGAATGAGTGAGTGCAACAAGGCTGATTCACATCAAGAAATAAGTACCTGAAAACTTAGTCTCTTTTTCTTCTAGACAGTTCTCCATCATCCGTCACCATTTCCTTTCCTGATCACCCCCACCCGCAACTCCAGTACATAGTGGGGCAGGGGAGAGGGGGAGAGCATCAACATTAGCTGAGAACTCCTGACTATCAGCATGTTTAGTGGCTGTCTTTTACAGTCTTTATCATACTTAATCCTCACAACTCTATTACATAAGAATTTTTATACAAGGGACTTTTCATTATTTGCCCATAATTACATAAGTAAAAACTAGCAGAGGTGGAGTTTGAGCTCAGCACCCCATTGTGAGGTTCCATGCTTTCCTTCTTCCTTTTTGGATCACTCCCCATACACAATGTTTTCTCCTTCCTTTAACTCTCTTTCTCCCTTTCTTTACAATAAGAGGCCTCTCCAGGAAATATGAAGGTTGCCATTTTCCATTCCACAGTGTGCGTTGAGGGTCTCAGACGGTACCCCCAGGCTGAAAAGTACCATCTCCACTGGTCTCAAATGGAAACTGAAGCATTACTTTTAGGAATGGCCCCAGCATGCCTTGAAAACTTTTTATTCTTCAAAAACCTCCCATTGAAATACAAAGACCCCTTAAAGGAGTGACAAACTTTTATAAACTAGTATCAATCTATTTCCAACAATAATCCCTTCCAGAAAAAAAAAATCCTGTAGAAATGGAACACGGATTTGCAATCAGGAGAGTGTTTTGAACGAATAGTGGAAACCCTTGAAAGGGGATAAAGAGAAGGTGAAGGAGAACCAAAGGCAAACTTTACCTATTCATCTTTCCCTGTACAGCTGGTCTTAATCGTTAGCATCCATGTAAACCAATAAGACTTTGGCTCCTCCAGTGATGTTAATCATGAAAGGATTCCTGGATGCAGAGTACATAGCGGTTGAGTCCACAGCCTTGAGACTCAGATTGCCAGAATTCAAATTGCAGCACTCTTCGCACACCTACTCCTCGATTTATGAGCACTATTTCCCTGAGAAAATTACTGAACCCCTCTCTACCTTGATTTTATCATCTGTCAAGTGGAGATAATAACCATACCGATTTCCTAGAGTTGATGGCTGTCTAAGATAATAAGCATAAGGGACTTAGAATGACTGCCCTACAGAAAATGCTCTAAAGAAGTTTTCATGATGCTTTTGCCATAATTGACTTTTTCTTATGGACTCCAACCACCTGTAAATATTACCCATGTTTCACAAAGGCTCACTGGGTTCTGAAAACTACTTCGATGTGCTGTCTCTATCCACCTTCTCCAGCTCTGGGATGATATTTATTGATATTCTGGGAGTGTATTCCTGCTAGGTAACTTTGAAATGATCTACTTTCTTGCTGGAATCTGCAAAAGTAGTGGCATTTTTCTAATGTGTTTTGGCCTCAGTTTCATACAGAATAAAATGTCTCCTGTTTCCAAAGACAGTTAACTATTGCAACAGTTTTGGCAGAATGCAAACCATCTCCTCTGGTGCACTCATTATTCTATAAGCAAAAACAACAACAAAAAAACCTATTCTCTTTGAATGTGAAACTTTTTTCCCCTTGGCATGCATTAGACACTCGGGATGAAATCAGAGAGTTTATTTTATCTTTTCTGTTGGCGGTGCTCCAGCTTTCTGAACACTGCTAAAAACTTGAGCCTTTCAAATTCATGGTCCCATCAACTAAAAACATGATGCCTTGCACACTCTAAAAAAGATTCCAATTTAAGCAAAGAAGAAGTAATTGAACCAAAAAGACTGCCCTTTTCGAGGTTACTTCCCATAAAACCACTTAATCAGCTTTTCCCCCCTTTTCTGCCATGGTTATGGAATAATCCAAAAAGGGAGATTTTCACATTTCACTTTGCTACAGCATAATCTTTTCTAGCTTTTAGAGTCCTCCTACACACTTACCAGATTGTGGTTTATCACTCAGAGAAACATACATCCTACACGTTAGCTCTCTAAGGGAAAGAAACTCACTGCAAATTAATAGAATATAAGCCCGGTTCCATACCTACGCATCAGGTGTCACAAAGCACAAAGCTTTACTGAGCTAAGAAAAACTCCTGTCATGAAAAGGATAATTGCTTCCACATTTAACATCTCCAAGAAGGACACAAATAGCTAAAAGGAGAATATTTTAAAACTATATTAAATCATTCTAGTAGAAAACCTCAAACTTGTAAAGTGCTAGAAAAAGTGAAGATCAATTAAATATCATTTACCTTTGAGAGTCCATTTAACTCATGCAGAGAGAGTGAAAGCTCCCTCTGGGTAATTCTGGATAGGGAAAGATGACATAATCCAAAAAGAAGGAAGTTAACTGGGCTTTGTTCAACTAGGTGATAATCTAGATGATTTCAAAAGACCTTGGGTTTGCCAAGAATTCTTCTTTTGGAGGAGCTGACGAGCATATTGGTCTTGATATCAAAAGGACATAAACCACCTCCTAGTCAGTGGCCATCTCTATCGTGGGTCTCCAACTTCCCCCATCTCACTTCTTCTGTCTGCCCAGCTTGGCATCTCTTAAATCCATTCTCCTCCAGCACTTCAATTGCAACATCCCTTCCTTAAATCCATTCTCCCACCCTGGCTAGTCTCCACGTTAATCGATACTTTTTTCACTACCAGAAGACAGTATCTTTTAGTTGTAATCTCATCTCCTTCTTCCATTCTTCAACTTAGCTCTTCTTTAGATGAATTTTTATAATTAGTGTCAGGTTGGGAGAAATTTGATTCTTAAAGAATTATGTTATAATTTAAGTAGTGCTGAGGTTTGGGAGCCAATGTAGTTCAAATCTGTGACTCAGCCATCGCAGTGACTTCGAGGCTTGGCTAAGCTTATGGTTCACAGAGACACATGAGAGAAAGAGTTTGGAAGAGCCAGGCTCCATGTGACACCTAAACCAGCAGCCTGCATCACATATGCAGGGCCTAATTCTCTGCTGAGCGCTTAGAAAGTCATGGACATAACAGTTTTCACCCCTTTGGGTGAACAGATTTCTTTCTCTCTTCCAGATTCTCCCATGGAACTAGCAGACTTTGAAACAGCTAAAGGTACACTTAGTGAAGTAGCTTTAAAAGACCCACTAAGGAAATAGTGTAACGGGCATTTTACAGCAATTCTCAGGGCTTAAAATGGTGTTTGAGAGTCAGTAGGCTTTCTATAACTGTTTGCTCAATTGATAAGAATGAATCCAATCTACTGGGAGAAATCCAGTGACATATCCTGCTGGGAAAGTCCCTTTTTGGGAGTTGGCATG